GCATTATTAATTGCATTTTTAAATCATCTTAATGAATTAAATATTAATTGCATTTTAGAGCAACTTAATGAATTAAATATTAATTTATTGAATGTAATAAACCAGTCATATTATTGTGCCAACGTCATGCCTGGCCTAAATGAAGAAATGCAAACCCTGCTTCAAAATAAAATTAATAAAAAGGTGTCTTGGTATAATAATATTGTATTTTTTTAAATTTAACTAATGAACTATATAATTTTCTAGGGGTATTAAGGTACTGTAAATATTCAGGCCATACTCTTTAGATACATTACCATTGGGGTATCAACGACTTCTTATGAGGCCTCATTCTCTACATTATAAAGATCAATCGAGCTCTAAAATATTGATGATAGATCAACTTAAACGAAATTTAGTATTTTTAAAATCTTAGATAATTTTTCTTGGATTTTTAATTTTCTATATAGTGAATTTCACCGTAGAATTTCTTTTCTATAAATTAATTCATAGTACTGGATTCTTTCATATTAGCAATAAATATAATATAATTTTGAATACCTTTTGCATTATTATAATATTGTTTACAAGCAATAAATATTTTTTTAAAAATGAGCGTTATCAATGGAAAGATGTTAAAGAATGGATTAGATATTAACATTTTTGGCAGCTAGTTTTTATTTAGTATTATGTTATATGGGTTTCTAACAAAACGCCTGCTCGAAATGGGGTTCGATTGCAAGAGCGATCAATGAGAGCATCATGTTTAATATAAAAATATGTCTCGAACAACAACTAACTTATTTAATAATACATTTTTTTTAAAATAATCAATTAACAATTAATTTTAAATTTGAACGGTATAAAATGGAAGTTTCTATAGTATTGAGTGTTGCGGCGGTTGTTAACATGAAAGGTTTAATATGCTCTATTTTTTTGGGTGGTATTTTCTATATTAATAAGTTTATGAAATTTCCATACCCTTAGACTTATGCTACATTTTTCTGGAAATTTTTTAGTATCTTTATTTATTGTTGTTGGCCACCATATATGTCTAAAGTAATTGTTTTCATACGGTCATATCCTTGGTGTGTTCAATACAGGGTTTAACATTTGCTCAAAATTCAAAAATCTTCACAGATCGTTGCTCTTTTGAAGATCAAAAAATGCGAAGATTTTTTTGCTAAAAAAAATTTTGAGCTTGCTCAAAGAAGATTTTTGAGCAAAATAAAAAATATTTTTTGTAAAAAAATCTTCTATAATTTTGAGAAAATATTTTGAGAATTTTATAATAAAATAAAATCTTTTGTAAAGAAATCTTTATTAAAACATTTTTGAAATTTTGATCTTAAAATTTTTTGTGCAAATATTATTTTGGTAAAAAATTCTTTAAAAATAAAATTTTATTTTTTTTATTTTATTTAAAAAAAATTTTTTTTTTGAATAAGTTGTAAATGTGTGTGAGAGATAATTGGTCATAATACCGATCATTTTTTTAAATATTTGGTTTAATAATGATTATTTTAAAAATTTTATATGATCATTTTAATGTTTTATATTTAATGTAAACTATAAAAGTGACAATTGTCATAATACTCATCTCAGAACCTTTAAAAATAATTTTAATTAAAAAAACTTAGTTGAGCATGTTTTGAGATGGTTTCAGTGATTGTAAAGTATATAAAGGTGATAATTATCATAATACTTATTTCACATATGTTTTAATTGAAAATAGAGAAAAATGATTATTTCAAACATGAATTAATATTTAATGTGTAAACTATAAAAGTGACAATTGTCATAATATTCATATCAGAACCTATAAAAATAATTTTAGGTATAAAATAGGCAAGAAAAAATTTTTTGAGCATGTTTCGAGATGGTTTTAATGATTGTAAAAATTGTCACAATCGTTATTTTTGAACTTTTTTAAAGCAAGTAGATAAAAATTTATTAAATATAAAATTAAATGTGGATGTACCATAGAGCAGTGACAATTGTCATAATCGTTATTTTTGAACCTTTTTGAATTTTTTTGAAGCAACAGAGTAAAATAATAAATTGTAAACATGTTAAATTGAAATTTAAATGTGGATGTACCATAGAAAAGTGACAATTGTCATAATCGTTATTTTTAATCTTTTTTGAATTTTTTTGAAGCAAAAGGGTAAAATTATATATTGTAAACATGTTAAATAAAAATTTCAGTGAAGATGTACCTTAGAAATGTGACAATTATCATAATTGTTATCTTTGAACTTTTTTGAATTTTTTTAAAGCAAATAGGTAAAAATATATATTGTAAACCTGTTAAATTAAAAAATTCTGTGAATATGCTATAGAAAAGTTACAATTGTCATAATCGTTATTTTTAATCTTTTTTTATTTTTTTGAAGAAATTATATATTGTAAACTTATTAATAAAATTTCACTGAAGATCTACCATAGAAAAGTGAAAATTGTCTTAATCGTCATTTTTAATCCCTTTTAAATTTTTTTTGAACTTGCAGGGTAAAATAATAAATTAATACTTGTTAAATTTAAATGTGGATGTACCATAGATAAGTGACAATTGTCATAATGGCCATTTTTAATCTTTTTTGAATTTTTTTGAAGCAAAAGGGTAAAATAATAAATTAAAAACATGACAAATTAAAATTTAAATGAAGATGTACCATAGAAATGTGACAATTGTCATAAACGTTTATTTTAATCTTTTTTGAATTTTTTATAAGCAAAAGGGTAAAATTATATATTTTAAACATGTTAAATTAAAATTTCAGTGGAGATCTACCATAGAAAAGTGACAATTATCATTTTTAATTTTTTATTTAATTTTTTTGAACTTACAGGGTAAAATAATAAATTGTACACATGTTAAATTAAAATTTCAGTGAATATGTACCATAGATAAGTGACATATCTAATTCTCAACTCCCTTTTGAAATTATTTTAATATATATATTTTGAAATTATCACATTACTCATATCCATTATTTTTAAATTAGGTTAATATGATCTTGTTGGGAAACACTTAAACCTCTGGGCAGATGATAATAGTATCATATATGTTAAATTTTTAGAGCCAACCGGAATGGAGTTGAACTAGAAAGATGCATCAATATAAACATGATATTTTTGGGAACAAATTTTAAAATATTTTTTCTTTAATCTTTTAAATCAATTTTAGATCTTAGAAACTACTATTTGGATATATCTAGTAAAATACGCCCCCCTCTGATTATACTATTCATACAAAAAATCTAAATCAGTCATACATATGAATTTTTATTTATCAAAATTTCAATGTAAACAATAACTTTATAATGAAATAGGTTATATAAATAATTATTTAAAATATCACATTATTTAACAATGTACGATTAAGCTTTATAATTAAAATATCATCAATTATATCTTTGTCTAATCTTGTCCTTAGAGAGGTTACAGTTAGTGCCAATGAATTAAATGCTCTCTCAACTGAGACCTGGGTGCAAGGAGCAGCAAGAATTATTTGAGATAATTTAAATAATTCTGCATCTTGGTGTTTTCTTGAAACCCAATATTGCAAAATATCTTGTGAGGATGGCAATCTTTTGTTGTATAATAACGATTTTATTTTTAGCTTGATATCGCTATTACATAATTCATAAAATATAGGTCCCTTCTTGCAATCACGCTCAATGTAAAGGTCAAGTTTTGTTTTTGTATAATCACTAGTGGAAGGCATAACTAGAGTTGTATTTTCTTCATGAGGGTCAATAGCTTGCAATTGTTTCCAAGTTGCAAATATATGTTCCTAAAATAAAAAGATGTATATTATAAATTTATTAATTTACCCTGGCCAAATTTTATCTTCTTCCAAAGATATTTTCCATTTTCATAATGGAATCTAGGATCCATATATATCGCACTACGAAATGCGTCATTTTGAAAAAGATAGTTTTCTCTAATGTTTAAACATTCCAACATACTTTTAGATAAATTATTATCCATTTCCTCCAGCTCCATTTTGCATTCTAGCCATGAAGCAAAAAAATCACCTATTACAATATTACTTTTTTGTAATTTCATTGTGAATTTGTATAATGGGAAAAGGACTGATGTACCTAATAGGATAATATCCCATAAATCGAAACTAATAAAAGTTTCTGGGTATAATTCACCCATTTTAGTATAAAAGGTTTTATTATCCATTAGATTTTTCATCATTAGATAAGTACTATTCCACCTAGTAACAGTATCTAGCGTGGGTTTCGAAACTTTGTCCATTATAAATAATCTTTTATATTTGTGAGATTTTATCAATTTAATTATAATACGAATTTTCTCTAAGTCTAGTTTTAAATATTTTTTGATAAACATGTTTACAGCAAGTTGTATAGTATGTGCAGAACATCTAATGCAACTTAAGCCAAAGCTTTTGCTTATATCATCTGATATATTTTCCTCGTCAATACCCTCTGGTGTTTCTTTATCAGAATAAACGGAGACATTTTCATCATCAATACATACATTTTCCTGATAACTTACACTTGTATTAAATAATATCTGGCTTAAATTGTTTTCATTAGAATTAGATAGATCATTATCATTATTTAATTGATCTCTAGCCATAGTGTCAACCATTTTAAGCATATTGGCGCCGTTATCCACAGTAATGCTATATATTTGTTTTAAATCTATCTGGTATTTTTTTAAAATTGTTTGGATTTCTTCTTTTAGGTTTACACCTGTATGAATTTTTATTAGTTCTATCATTCCTAGTGTTCGCACTTGTATCTGGCCATCTTTTATATACTGAACATTAATACCTAATATTGATTTATTATATCTAGTAGCTGTATCAATTTTTAAAGAAATTAGCTTGTTTTTTAATTCATGTATAATTTGAAGTCTAATTTTGGATGCGGTATATTTTATTTTGTCGACCACTGACCGAGTATTTATTTTCATTTGAAGAGAATGACATATAGGGTCTAGTAAAATACGGAAACCCTCATAATTTACTAAATTTATGGGTAAATTATGGACTGTAATCAACCATACTATACATTCAAAAACCTAAAAAATAATTATTTATTCTTTATTTAAATATTAATTACTTTAGATTTATCGATCTTAATTTTTGGGAATTTTTCTTTTGCTGTATTTCTAGCATTGAAGGACGAATCACTATTAGATTCATCTGCTTTCATTATGTTTGGGTGTTGAGAGGTTATGTGTCTTTTAAGATTTGCTAGAAAAATATATTGAAAAATACATTAAATAATTTATTTTACATGGTATTGACTTCATCTTTTTGTCACACATGCTGCACGTCGCTAAATTTTCAGAAGAATCGATTAAAAAATGCTCCTTTAGAATATCTTTGAGATTTTTTTTATTTTGCATTATATATAAAAAAAAAATTTTGTAATTTTTAATTTTAACTTTCTTGTTTTTTCCTTTTATTTTTATTTTCACTTGTTTATTATATTTTGAAATAAAAAATCAGGAATTAATGTTATATAAAATAAAAAAAATGAATAAAATAATTGTTTTATTGAGGCCAAATAAAACCCCCATTTATAAATTTGGATGGGATACATTTATTTAATGTTTTTTTTATTTATATTTATAAAAAATCAAATGTTATATGAAGATATAAAAAATGCATTTTCTTTTCGTTTTTCCCATTGTCTCTCTCTCTCCCTCCTTTATTTATTTTTATTTAATGTTTTGCCTTATGAATTAAAGAAAATAAAATATCTCAAAAAAATGAAATTTGCTGGTGCCAGCGAGGCGGCACCAGATTGAAAAAAAGTATTATATAATTTTTTTTTTATAAAATTGAATTCAAAATTTTTTTTAATTTTCATTGCTGTAATGGTACCCAAAACCGATACGTTTTCCCCCTTGAAGGAGGGAGTTTGACGGATGGCCTCTTACTCTGTTTATGGCTATTGCAATTTTTTCCTGACTCCAATTGCTATATTTCTTTTGTGGTTTATGATAGGTATCAGAGTTTATTGTAGAAAAATTTATTTGATTGGGTTAAGAATTATTTGTTATACCAAATAAAACTGAATTTGAAATATTTTGAGAATAAGATGGTTCTTCCTGTGAGGAAAAATCTAAAAGATTATATATAATAAACAATATAATGTTAATTGGTACCAACATGTAGATGTAGAAAGATCTAAGAGACCTGGAGATAGTGAATATTTTATTAATTTTGTAATTTTTAATATCTTAAAAAATGGGAATTTTATTTCCTGGGAATTATATTCATAGATTCTTTTTAATGTTTACCTAATAGATTTTAAATAATAAACTAAAGTTAAAATTTTTTAGCCCGCTAATTGTTAAAATTTTGTAACCGATTCGCTCGCACTTTTTAAAATTATTAAGCTAGGCCGCCCATGGACGGGCTTCAGCTAAAAACCTGCTCGTTTCAGCAAATAAATTCTAAAATGATCATAATGATTATGACAATTGTCATTTTTCTATGGTACATCCTCATTTAAATTTTAATTTAACATGTTTACAATATATAATTTTATATTTTTGCTTCAAAATAATTCAAAAAAAGATTAAAAATAACGATTATGACAATTGTCACTTTTCTATGGTAAATCTCCACTGAAATTTTAATTTAACATGTTTACAATATATAATTTTACCCTTTTGCTTAAAAAAAATTCAAAAAAATTAAAATAAACGTTTATGACAATTGTCACGTTTCTATAGTACATCCTCATTTAAATTTTAATTTTACATGTTTATAATTTATTATTTTACCCTTTTGCTTCAAAAAAATTCCAAAAAGATTAAAAATGGCCATTATGACAATTGTCACTTATCTATGGTACATCCACATTTAAATTTAACAAGTTTACAATTTATTATTTTACCCTGTAAGTTCAAAAAAATTTAAAAAAGATTAAAAATGACGATTAAGACAATTTTACTTTTCTATGGTAGATCTTCAGTGAAATTTTAATTTTATAAGTTTACAATATATAATTTCTTCAAAAAAAATCAAAAAAGATTAAAAATAACGATTATGACAATTGTCACTTTTCTATGGTACATATTCACTGAAATTTTTATTTAACATGTTTACAATATATAATTTTACCCTTTTGCTTCAAAAAAATTCAAAAAAGATTAAAAATAACGATTATGACAATTGTCACTTTTCTATGGTACATCCACATTTAAATTTCAATTTAACATGTTTACAATTTATTATTTTACTCTGTTGCTTCAAAAAAATTCAAAAAAGTTCAAAAATAACGATTATTACAATTGTCACTGCTCTATGGTACATCCACATTTAATTTTATATTTAATAAATTTTTATCTACTTGCTTTAAAAAAGTTCAAAAATAACGATTGTGACAATTTTTACAATCATTAAAACCATCTCGAAACATGCTCAAAAAATTTTCTCTCGCCTATTTAATACCTAAAAATTAAATTATTATTATTTTTATAGGTTCTGTTATGAATATTATAAAAATTGTCACTTTTATAGTTTACACATTATATTAATTCATGTTTGAAATAATCATTTTTCTCTATTTTCAATTAAAACATATGTGAAATAAGTATTATGACAATTGTCACCTTTATATGCTATACAATCACTGAAACCATCTCAAAACATGCTCAACTAGCCTTTTTTAATTATAATTATTTTTAAAGGTTCTGAGATGAGTATTATGACAATTGTCACTTTTATAGTTTACATTAAATATAAAACATTAAAATTATGACATTACATTTTTAAAATAATCATTATTACTTATTCCAAATATTAAAAAAAATGCAGTCGGTATTATGACCAATTCTCACATTTACAACCTATTCAAAAAAAATATTTTCATTAACATAATAAAATAAAAAAAAATATATATCAAAAATTTTATTTTTAAAGAATTTACCAAAAAATTTTAAGATCAAAATTTCAAAAATATTTTAATAAAGATTTCCATACAAAAGATTTTATTTTATTATAAAATTCTCAAAATATTTTCTCAAAATTATAGAAGATTTTTTTACAAAAAATATTTTTTATTTTGCTCAAAAATCTTCTTTGAGCAAGCTCAAAATTTTTTTTAGCGAAAAAATCTTCGCAAAAAATTGATCTTCAAAGATTTTTTCCTCAAAATTTTGGGCGAAAAAAATCTTCAAAAAAGATTCTTGTAATACCCGTGGCACGATCACTCTCACATTTCTGAGAAGACATCTTTCATCTTTGATAATTTCATAATTTTTCTGAATAAAACTTTTGCATATTATATTATTAACCATCTGTTCCAAATCTGGCTAGTTTTGACAAGATTGGATCCTCAGCTTTTCTTTATAACTTACATAATTAATATTGCTTTTAATTGATCATATACCATTGTTATATGGCAAAGTTCCCATTCACTTATTTATTCATCAGTTAATAGTATCTCTAGTAAAGAACTGCCTGCAAAAGTAGGCCCGGCCCTTACCAAACCCGAATGGGCTTTGGGCAGGTCCTTATATCTAAATTTATCAATTTTAGTTTGAATTTTTTTATGTAAAAAAAAAATTTGATATTACTTATAGAAACTAGACGCCATATAACATATGTCTTTTATTTTGAGTAATTATAAAAATTAATTTCTATATTTAAATAAATTCCGGAGACATCACTTATCATTTTTTATGTGATTCAATATAAAATTAGAGCTTTGTGATCAGTCATAATTGAAAATTTATTCCCTATTTATAATGATTTAAATTTTTTGAAGTTAAACATTTATTGATAACGCTTCTTCCACCTGACTATTAAATTTTTGCAGCCGATAAAGTTCTTGACACGAACATAAAACATTTATCACTATCCGATGAAAAAAAATGAGAATAATATTGCACCTATTCCATAATTTGAAGCATCCGGACATATTTGTATTATAGTATCGTGTATGATGATTTTAGCAACTTTATCGCTTCCTCTTGCTTTATTTCCATTTACATTCTATATGCAAAAATTTATATATACTAATTTGAATATTGTTCAAAAATCTGGTATATATGATAGTAATTTACTAGTCTTAAAAAACTTTGAATCTCCTTTTTATTTTTTTGCGCCTATGAATTCGTTATTGCATCCAAATGTTTTGTAGTGTGCGAAACACCTCCTCTATTAATTTTATGCCTGATCTGTTCAGGAAAAAATTTACATTTGTCAAAATCTAATATAACCCCTTTTTCTTTTTGTTAATAAATTATGCAAATTATTTTCAGGTTAACTTACTATTTTTTCATCCAAATAAACTGCTATTATGGTAGATAGACTTTTACAATGGCACGTTAAAATTTTGCTGGGGATGAAGGAATTCCAAATAGGAGTCGATTATACTAATATTATTAATTTCGAGTGGTAATCGCCATCTTTTAAATCTTAGTACAATTCGATTTGATAGTAGACATTGAATAAATCGAAATCTATCTTACCTTTAATTTCATTAATTGTATTTATATTATGTATTAATTGATCCATAATATTCGAATAATATCTTATTATCTACCATTTATATTCTAGTCATTGAATAAAAAATTTTAAATTGATATCTTTTATTTTCAATTATTTTTTCATAAAACAAGAATATTATTATTGATATATGATTATAAAGTAATATTTGTTTTTTGTAAATTATATATGGGGCGTAAGAGTTTTCATATTTAGTAATGATATGGCAGCTCGTATCTACCATAAATATAAAAGATCTGATTATATATAAATTTTTAATTCAAAATTAATTCTATAAAGTTCTTATTCTTATTATTTTGGTCTCTTCTTTGTATTTTTTGTTCCTTTCGATCGACATACATTAGATAGATGTCCTATTATATAATACTTGTAACATAAAAATTATAATCTCATTAAAACATCGTATGTTTATCTCTGTTATAACTCTGACGCCTAATTATTTTTTGAATTTTCCGATTCAATTCCTTTATTGATTACTTCTTTTTTTAAATTTAAATATCTCATAAATTAGATTTGTTTTCGATATTATTTCTTTAATCAATTAATTACTTCGGTATATTTTAATTTTCTAATTGAGGTTAAGGATAAGCAAGTTCTTAAATTTTATTATATACCTTCGTATTTATCATAACCTAAAGTGTTGATAGTTTTACCTTTTCATCTATAATATTATTCATCTAGAGATATTCATCGAATTGTGATAAATATGTATCAATTATAGTATATCTTGTGATACATATAAATTTATTATACTGCTATATGAAAAGTTTAATTAAATATTTGTGACAGAAATACCTATTTATTTATTCAATCTACTAATTATAATATATATCTTTTTTTAAATAAGCAATTAACAAATTAAAATCTAAACGGAAAATAATAATTATATAAACAATTAATTTTTTGCAAACAATTTATATTTAAAAAACAAAACTAGTTTTAAAAATATCAAAAAAAGATGTAAAATCTCTGAACATATTTGTGTGGCATTTAGAGAACATTTTATTTAAGTTAAATAAT